TCTTTCAGGGTTTTATATATATCATCCCATCCCATCTCCTGCATGGTTTCTGCTGAGAAATCTGAGCTTAGTCTTATTGGATGCCCCTTGTAGGTGACTTTTCATTTTTCCCGTGCTGCTTTCAGGATTCTTTCTTTGTCTTTGGTTTTGATGAGTTTGATGATGATATGGGTTGGTGATTTTCATTTGGGGTTTATTTGTCCTGTTTGGGGTGTGTTAGACTTCATCATACTTGGGAAATTCTTTTCTGGCAAATGTTTGACAATTTTCTCTATGGTTTTATTTGTCTCTTCCTGTTTTGGAATTCTGATTACATGTAGGTTATTCATTTTGATGGTATCCCACATGAACCTTAGGCTTTCTTTGTTTTGTTTTGATCTTTTTTCTGATTGATCCCTTTGCAAAGAAGTATTGAAATATTTGTCTTCAGTCTCACCAATTCTATCTTCCGTTGATTCAGTTCTACTCCTTTGCCCTCTCAATGTATTATCTATTTCTGAAAATTTAGTATTAATCTTCTGGATTTCTCTCTGTAGATTTTATATCATTTCTAATTTTTCATTCATTTTGTCATTTTGTTCTTGTTGTCTTTCAAAACTGTTCTAGAGTTTTCTCTGTTTTCCTCAATTTTGTCAGTATCTTCCTTGTTCTGTGTCTCAATTCATTGACGGTACCTACATATAATTCTTTTGAATTCCTTATTGGGGAGTTCCAATGCTGCTTCTTCCTCAGGGATCTGTTTTGGACCTGTATCCTGGACTCTTGTTTCTCCTGGTTTATCTTGCTTCTTTGTGTGGACTGTGGTACTCTGTTGTCTCTGACACATTGTTGTGGTTTTGTGTTTATATTTAACTGGTGATTGTACATTGGAGTGATTTGCTCAAGATTTTTCTTTTCTTTGGATGTTATCTAAGTAAGCAGGATACTCTGCTCCTCTATTCGCTAGTTGGCAGCACTTATACACTCACCATCTGTCTCTTTTCCCATTGTCAGCCGCCCAGATGTCCCAACCATCCTTGGCAAGCGGAACCTATTCTTAGGTCCCTGGCATCTGAATGTGAGTGCTGTCACTTTTAAATATCCAAAATGACCACCACTTGTAAACAATCAAAATGGCTGCACCCTCTTCACAGCTGAAAATCCACATCTCAGTTTGTCTCTCTCTTTGCTATTTCCCTTCCTAGTCATTGGCCACCAGTGCAATTATCCCTGCAGCCGTTGGTGACCAGGGCTGATGTTTAGGTCACTTCTCAGGTCCCAACACTGCTTAGAAATATTCAGACTGTTGGTGCTGTCAGACTAGCTGATAATCTGCAGCTCATTCTGCCTCCATCCTCAGTGTTTTTATTCAGGTTCTTGCACTAGTTGGTGCCTAATCCATTTCTTTATACTTCCTTTCAAAGCTTAGGGCCCCAGGATTATCTTCTGTATCTCTGTCAATTGGTTTCTTTTTTCTTTGTAGGAGAGGGTCTGTATAGCTTGTCTGCCTATTCTGCCATCTTACTGGAAGCTTCACACACTAGCCATTTCTTAAGCTGAAAGAAGTAAAGATAAAATTCAAGCCTTGAGTTGTAATACTGAAAGATTCTATGGGCAAAATATTGAATGATGCAGGAAATATCAAAAGAAGATGGAAGAAATACACAGAGTCATTGTACCAAAAAAAATTTGGTCAATATTTACCATTTCAGAAGGTGGCATATGATCAAGAACCAATGGTATTGAAGGAAGAAGTTGAAGCTACACTGAAGGAATTGGTGAAAAATAAAGCTCCAGGAATTGATAAGATACCATTGAGATGTTTCAACAAATTAATGCTGTCCTGTAGGTACTTACTCATCTATGCCAAGAAATTTGGAAGACAGCTACCTGGCCAACTGACTGGAAGAGATCCATATTTGTACCTATTACAAAGAAAGATCATCCCATAGAATGTGGAAATTATTGAAGAATATCATTAATAGTACATGCAAGCAAAATTTTGCTGAAAATAATTCAAAATAGTTGCAGCAACTTCCAGAATGGTTGCAGGGAACTTCCAGAAATGCGAGCTGGATTCAGAAGAGGATGTGGAATGAGGAATATCACTGCTAATGTCAGATGGATCTTGGCTGAAAGCAAAGAATACCAGAAAGATTTTTACTTGTGTTTTATTGTCTATGCAAAGGCATTCAACTGTCTGGATCATAACAAATTATGGATAACATTGAGAAGAATGGGAATTCCAGAACACTTAATTGTGTTCATGAGGAACCTGTACATAGACCAGGAGGCTGCCAGTCGAACAGAACAAGGGGATACTGCATGGCTTAATATCAGGAAGGGAGTGAGTTAGGGTTGTATCTTTTCACCATACTTATTCAATCTGTATCCTGAGCAAATAATCCGAGAAGCTGGACTGTATGAAGAAGAATGTGGCATCAAGATTGGAGGAAGATTCATTAACAACCTGCTATATACAGATGACACAATTTACTTGCTGAAAGTAAGGATAACTTGAAGTACTTACTGATCGATATTAAAGACTCCCATCTGCAGTATGGATTATACCTCAACATAAAGAAAACCAAAATTCTCACAACTGGACCCATACACAGCATCACGATAAATGGAGAGAATATTGAAGTTGTCAAGGATTTCATATTACTTGGTCCCACAATCAATACCAACGGAAGCAGCAGTCAAGAAATCAGGTGACTTGTCATGCTGGGCAAGTCTGCTGCAAAAGACCTCTTTAAAGTGCTAAAGAGCAAAGATGTCTCTTTGAAGACTATGGTATGCCTAACCCAAGCCGTGGTATTTTCAGTCACCTCATGCTTGTGAAAGCTGGACAGTGAAAAAGGAAGACCGAAGAAGAATTGATGCTTTTAAGTTGTGGTGTTGGCAAAAAATACAGAAAGTACCATGGACTTCCAGGGGAACTAACATTTGTCCTAGAAGAAGTGCAGCTGGAATGCTTCTTAGAAGAGAGAATGGCTAGACTTTGTCTCACCTACTTTGGTCTTAGTGTCTGTAGAGACCATTCCCTGGAGAACGATATCATGCTTGGTAAAGTGGAAGGTCAGCAAAAAAGAGGAAGGCCCTCGAGATGGATTGACATAGTGGCTGCCACAGTTGGCTCAGGTATAGCAGGGACTGTGAGGCTGGTGCAGGACCAGGCAGGGTTTCATTCTGTTGTACTTAGGGTGGCTGTGAGTTAGAGCTGACTCGACAGCATCTAACAACAACAAACTGATTATAAAGTTTATTTGCAAAAACATATGAAAAGCAAGGAAAATTGTGAAAAACTACCCTACCAGATATTGAACATATTATAAAGCTACTAGAGACTCTTGAGTGGTGCAGACAAGTTAATGTGCTTGAATGCTAACTGAAAAGTTGGAAATTGAGTCCACCTGTAGGCATTTCAGAAAGTCCTGGTGATCTGCTTCTGAAAAATCAGTCTCTGAAAACTCTAAGGAGCACAGTTCTAGTCAGACACACACGGGGTCACCATGAATAAAAGTCAATTTGTCAACTGGATTGGAAAAACTGTAATAATAAGTATAGCGACCTATGGACACACAGATTGATCAATGGAACTTAGAAGTAGAGAATCAAAAATAGATCCAACCCATATGGGAATTTGGTATATGATAAAAATGACATTTATATGATCGGGGAAAAGCCTAATTAAATAGTTTTTGGGAAACAGAAAAATCTAAGTTGGATCTTATGTTATTCCTTAAAGAAAAAAAATTCCAGGTGAATCAAATATCATATATGAATCCATGAAAGTCCTTAAAGAAAACATATGAAGGTTTTTTTTATAGTTTTGGCATAGAATTGGTGTTTCTCAGTGTGAAAAAACTAAGAAGACATAGAATGAAAATTGGTAAATCGGACTAAATAAAAATTTAAAAATAGCACATTGAAAAAAAGAAATCATAAACAATACCAAAAAATCCCCAATAACTGTAGAAAAATTATTTTTCTTTTCTTGCAAGCCCTGTGGAACACAGTTGTTCTCTGACACACACGGAGTGGCCACAACTTGGAAGCAACTTGATGTGATTTTTTTTTTTTTTTAACTGTAAATGCACAAAAGACATGAGTAAAATTCACAGAGAAAAAATGTTTAAGTATGAAATAAATGTTCTATAGATTGATTTTTTTTTCAGCCAACAGTGTGTTACATCTAGACTTACCTTGTTCTTTTTAATCTAAAACAAACAAACAAACAAAAAAACGAACCCATTGCCATTGATTCCAATTCATAGCAACCCTATCGGACCAAGTAGAACTGCTCATAGGGTTAGTAAGGCTGTAAATCTTTATGGAAGCAGACTGCCACGTCTTTTTCCTATGGAGTAGCTGGTGGGTTCAGACCACCAGCCTTTCAATAAGCAGACGAGCACTTTAACCATTGTGTCTCTCCATAGTATTTCATAGCATAGATATACTATCATTTTGCTATTTAAAATATCCAGGTTGTTTTCTGAGAAAGAATGCTTCAGTGCATATCCATGGACTTCCCTCCTTGTACAACTGTGCAAATGTTTCTTTCTGTATCTGTAAATGATATTTTGTGTTGTAGGGTATGTGAATTTTAAATTGTAATGGATTTTACCAAAAGCCCTCCAAGTTGCTGAACAAAACTCATCATTAGCAGCCTTTGAAATGCTTGCTTCCCTGCATGATCAAATGTTTTCATTTTTTTCCAGTTTGACACACAAATGGTATCTTCTGAGTGAGGCATTTCTTTTTTTTCTAATATTTATTGGAAATTTCTGATTATTTCCTTAAAATTTTTAGAAGTGAAATTAAAGGATTAAATGGGAAAGGCTCCACTTTCTTAGAATTTATTTTGGAAGTGCTTTGGCACACCTTTTATGCAAATCAAGTATTTTGAGAATTATTTAAAATAATAATTAAAGTGGGTTTTATGAAACATTTTATAAGTATATAGGAGCTTATATGATGACTGAATTACACCTTAATTTTGTTTCTAAATTGTTTAGTGGAAAGAGATATTAATGGAACATTGTTGTCTCAAGCGACCTGTAAACTCTGTGATGGGAATGCAGACTCTTTTACGATAGCAAATGCTTTAGGAAACAGGTAAGCAGTGTGGTGAGAGCTGACTTATATCATCTTATATGTATGTAGAATTTTTACCTTTTTAAAGTATTGCCTAGCAGTTACATCACTAGCTTCTCAGTATTTAACACACTGAAGTAGACATTAGCATATGAGGAAACTGAGGTCCAGAGCTTAAGAAAGAATTGGGTTCAAATTTGAGTCAGTCTCTTCTTAGTTTGTTGATCTTGGAGAGCTCAAGAAGTCACAGGTCCTTGTTTTTATAGTGGGAATATATTACCCACCTCATGGGCTATGATTGACTCAGAAGTATATATGTAAAGTTCTTAGTATAGTACTCCGTAGTAAATGCTCAGTAAATAAATGGTGAATAATTTTGGTTGTTAACTATATAATTTGTATATAAGCTATAAAATAGTATAATATTTAGTATATAATAATAACTTCTATACAGCATGCTTATGTGCCAGGTGTGGTACTAAAGCCTTTTTATTTGTATCTTAAATGTTACATAATCAGTGAAAAACTAGTTGCTGTCAGAGTTTACTTGTGGCAACCACTTGTGTGTCAGAGTAGAATTTTGCTCCATAGGGATTTCAGTTTTTTTTTTCTCCCCAGATGTAGATCACCAGACCTTTCTTCTGAGGCATCTCTGGGTAGACTTGAACCTCTTAACTTTTTGGTTCACTGCCAAGTGCATTAACCATTTGCACCCCCCGGGGACTCAGTGGAAGAATAAGATAACATTGAGCATTTACCAGACACAATGTTTAGTACATTTAATGTATTGACTCATTTAATCCTCCTCACAACTCTGAGATACATTACCCTTTGTATGTTGTTGTTGTTGTTGTTTGCCGTTGAGTCGGCCCCAACTCATAGCGACCCCTCCTTGGGTTTCCAAGGCAGTATCACTACGGAAGTAGGATTGCCCAACCTTCCTTCCGAGG